CGAAATGTGGGGGCAGCAGCCCTGTCTAAAATTAGTAAAGTTGTTAACATTCTTTTGTGCAAACTGGGCATCGCCATTCACGCCGATCACGTGACTCTTTACAACACAGCTACTAGACGGCACCACGAGGTTGTTTGCTGCAAAACGTTCGACAATGTGCGCTCAGCAATTGTTCACCCGCACATTGCCAGACAAAAACATTTGTTCGGACAAACATTTGTTTGGGAAAATGTTCGACAATGTGCGCTCAGCAATTGTTCACCCGCACATTGCCAGACAAAAACATTTGTTCGGTCGAACATTTGTTCGGGAAAATGTTCGGCAATGTGCGTCAGTCTTTAGTGTTCTCACTTCGGGCTATGTAAAACTAAATTGTTCCTCAAATTCCTTAAAATCACATAATCTATAATGCAGTATTGTTTGCTATTCGTATTAATTGTTATTTGTATGGCATTATGCCTAATGTCTATAATGCCTCCTCTAAAAAGAGCCATCCACCACCATTTTCATGAATTAATTTTGGCAGCACTATTGTGGAGATTTAAGGAGAAGAAGTTCACCAAAACCACTCTAATTGAACAACTACTAGCTAACTACATTTAATGAACTTACGCGAAGGGAATCGTAAATGCACGATTAGGAGGTTAAATGTTTGTGCTATAACGACAGTCTATAGCAACTTACTGGGTGCAATCACCTTGAGTGTAACGGTGATCCGCGGAAAGTGATAGTAAATAGACAATAGTAGGGTACAGTAATAAAAAATAGCATAATTTAAACACCCGAGTACATTTAACAGACACAATATACCTTGGCTCCTTAATAATTCCCAACTTATTAAAACTGCGTGGTATAAAAATTCTTCCAAAAGAAGTGCAGGTGCGAGGCAGGGGGTAATACCTCTCCCTCTCGCTCCTCGATCTAGCTATCTATCTATTCTATGTATGTATGTATGTATGTATGTATGTATGTATGTATGTATGTATGTATGTATGTATGTATGTATGTATGTATGTATGTATGTATGTA